TATATTTTATTTTCTTCAAAAAATAATAGAAATATTTTAAACTTCATCTATATACCAATTCATCTAAAGCTCCTGACCATCTTAGGATAATTCAAGATGGCCTTCACCATTCAAGTCTTTGTCTCGCAACACTTTGACAAAGTCTCATTTGGCCTTTTACAATATCTATTAAGATGGAACCCCTTTCCCTCCCTTTCAAGTGAATCAATCAATTAGATTACTCAAATACATTCGGCAGTGATTAAAGTAATCGTCGCATTTTCGATTTCGGAAAACAGCTTTGTGCATCCCCCTCAGCGGTAATCTACCATAAAACCTATTAATGCCATGATAAGAATGTGTAAGTCCCAAGCAGAGATATATGTATATGCATATATCAGACAAATATGAAACTGAAAAACAGCTGAACTGTGTCATAGCTAGTGTAGTGCGTGGTCTTAATTGAGAGTGAATTAAATGATGTGTGAATTCCCGGCCCTGAACTTGGACGAGTGCCCGAGTGCAGACCTGCCCAAAAATTAAGGCAATCACTGAAATTATTTGCCCGTAATGCATTTATTTACTCGTACAGTATATACATATATATCATATATAAGTACATACTGCCCGTCGAAACGGAACTCGTAATGTGGTGGTAATTTTTATATCGGCAAGAACAACGAAATCTGAGACACACTTTTAATGCTATTCAGCGTCAGCGCCAATCGCACAACATGAGACAAGCATTTTAAGCATTTGACCCAATTCAATTATTTTGCATGCTCCAAGCCCAAGCCCAAGCCCAAGCCCCAGCCCAAGCGAAGGCCCAGACCCAGGCCCTGGCTGAGGCCCAGGTTCCCGGAGTGTGAACGACAAGAAAGTTGATTATTTTCTTTGCTTTCGCTTTAGTTCATTGTAGTTCTTGTGGTTGTTGTTGGATTTCTGCTAAGCCAAAGATCGTCAGGTCAGCAGGGCTCGCCTCTGAGACCCATTAAGATAACAGTATTTTCTCTGCTTATCACTTCTCCCATACTCACCTGGTTCTAAATAGACTTCCGTCTCACTTTCAAGTTGATCTCTTCTAGGATACACACTGCTCGTAGTTTTATATATATGTATGTAGATCTCAGAACAGATTTATGTAGATCTCTTTTACACACATATATTTAGTCACTGTCTAACCGAGCCGTGCGCTCCGCTTGAAAGCTAAACTCAAACTGAACGATCGCCAGCCCCGAGCTGCTGATAAGTGCAGCCAAAACACTTGACGGGAACGATTCTTGAATCATTCACAGTATACGCTGGGCGCACTCGTGTGCAGCAATCGTCGCATGGAGCAACACGAGAGCATTGTTAGTCGTGCTCACGCACGAAAATGAGCGCAGTTACATATGTATGTATATTGTGTTGGAAGTAATTATAAAAAGCATTTAATATGAATTACTTTTATAACATTTTATTTATTTTCTGTTGAACTTTTGTTTATAATCATATGAAGCTACTTTCATAATAGAACTGACAGGGGATTCAAGTTGAGCAGCGTTGGCATTTGAAGAATTTTAATTTATTAATTCCATTAAATCTTTAATTATCTCAAATCCTGGTGGTCTATGATTGATTTACAGAAACAACTATTTTAATTTAAAATGCTGCTATAAATTAATATATTTTTGCTAAATTTAATAAAATTTTGCCGACTTGGTCATTCGGCAGCATTTGATTTGTCAGGTTCACTCAAGAAACAGTCACATCACCTAGGCTGTCTTTTCATCAGTGGATTCTCGTGCAGATCGACTCGATGTTGACTATTTTTCTATTTACTATAGTTTTATATCAATAAAGTGATTGATTGATGATAGCATCTCCAGTAGTAGAGCAGGTTAGAAAGTCTGAATTTCCCCAGCAGGCAGTGGCAGTTTTCATTATAATCTATGTTGGCTTCGCAATGGAATTTTTGTTGATAGTATATTTGCAACACTTAAGCTCTTTGCAAATATTAGCAGATTTATAGGTGGCATAAGCTTTCAGTTACTATTATTATTATATTATAATAGATTAAACTTTTCAGTTAAATGGTCCACCGAGAAGAGCTGAAGTTCTGAGCAGTGACAATATTCATTGTTTTTTTTTTTTTTTTTTTTTTTTTTTTTTTTTTTTGCTTTCCCGATGGCATTTCTGTACCGTTACATATATTCGATATCTAAATTATGCACGGTTTCGCATGACAATTAATACGTACATATATTGAAAAACTGAAAACTGCTGAAGTCATTTAGATAAAATGCTGTAATTTATGTTTGTATTTTATTAGTTAAAAAGTGAACTATTTACTTTTTAGGAATAGTTTCTAAAACTGCCTTATTTTTGTTGAGAAATTACTGTTTTAAATTTGTATATGTTTAAATTATAGAAATATTTAAATATAATATTTGCTCTATATGTATTGTATAGAGATATATGAAATTGATTTGTATATACAAACGGAGGAATCAGAGTTACAAAATACATTCATAGATGCTGAATGATAAATATCCAAACACGTGGCTGCACATCGTTATAATTTAGTATAATCTTAACTTGGCTCGTCTTCAAAGCTATCCCGAATTGTTCAGTAATTGCACTTACACTTATCATTCACCATCTTCAAAACGAAAACTAGTTTCAAAGCAAATGCAATTTTTTAGAAGTGCTTGGTAGTATTTTATATATATTATATATAGAGAGAGAGGCAGAGTGAAAGAGAGAGAGCGAGACAGAAACAGAAATGGGCTTTAAAGCGCTTTTTGAGACGTGATATATCCATTTGCTAGGCTTTCGTTGCTGGGCATCTGCGACCGATGGTTAATATTAATATATTTATGTAAATACAAAAACAGAGTCTAAAGAGCACGACTGGCATTGCCATCGAAATTTCGAATCGGGCTACAGCTGCAGGGCCTAGTACGAAGGAGTTTGGGTACGCTTCATATTCTATGCATTAACTGTTGCCCAAGCACCTCTCCCGCTCCCCCAGTACCAGCCCCAGTCCCCAACACACGGCTCGTTTGTTGTTTTTGGTGGGGGCGACGCGAGATAGATGCAAAGAGGCCAATGACGAGATGCAGCCGCAGGCAAACTGAAACCAAGAACTGAGAGCGGCGAATGGAGAAAGGAGAATGGAGCGGACAATTGGCCAAAAAGTGAATTTTCCATTCAGTGTTGTTCTATTATTTATTTCGTACGTTTGTTTCTATTATTGTTGTTGTCGTCGTCGGCGTTGTTGTTGTTTTTTTTTTTTTTTTTTTTTTGTAGTGTGTCGGCTGGCGGGCTAATGGGCCTTTATTACCCACACAGCCGCACAGATACACAAATAAACACACACACACACACAAGCACACTGGCATGCCCACACATGTACCAAAGGATATCCGTGGCACGTCCTGGGCGCTATTTTGGCCAAAATGTAAATCTCTCACTGTGGCGCCGCTCGCATCTTTAATGTTCACACGGCCATTGTTTTGTTGGCTCGTCGGCCCGTTGGCAGTTTAAAGTGTCCTTTGGGTATGCACAAAGCAAACACAATTCCACCCATACATTGACAATTAGACAGGACACACACACGCTGCAGCTTACAGCTGGGCTTAAAGCCATCTCCACATCCCCGTGTGCGGAGTGTTGACTGGTCCTATTCCTAAGTCATTGTTCGACTCCTGCCTGCTGTCACTTTCATGTCATGACGCCCATCGCCCATCGCCCAGCGGGCAGACGCCTCAAAAACAGGAAGCTTAACACTTTGCTGCCTGCTAATTTTGTGCCAGAAACTTTGGTCATTAAAGCGTGTGAATATGATTAGAGAATTGTGTCCAACATCAGCTGCGGCCCTCCTGATGCTTTGACATTTGCCGTTGCCTCTATTATGTTTAGTATTTAAAAACTGTCAGCTCTCTGGGCACTTCAACTTAAAGCCAACACACACAACCAGAGCTCATCCGTTGCCATCAATGAGGCCCATCGAAACGAGCTAAGCTCGCAACCTGTTGATTACCGCAAATTTAACATCAATTCAATTCAAATGACTTTGGCTGCATTCAATTCAATTGCCACTTGATGTCTCTCTAGCTATGCCCAGGCATCGGGCATTGGCTGTGCAACTGCAACTTCTTCTCGACGCCACTGGCAATCAATTGAATTACATGTTGCCAGCTTCCTGTGCGCGCATCGTTAGTGTTATCATACCCTCAATGCAGCTGGCTCCGAGCGGGTATAGACCAGCAGCAATGGGATTATTTCAAACTGGGAAAGTACAAACAAAAAAATTGATATTTGAAGACAGAGAATAAAGCATGAATGATAAAAACTCTTATTAAATAAATTAAAATTTTGGCATCAATTAAGAGTAATTGAGCTAAATATAATTTATATTATTAATAATAAATATACAAAATATCATCATCCACTATTAACATTTCCAAAGTATCTCGGGATCAACCTTAGTTCTATATCAGATTTTTTTCCGGTTTGCTCTGTTGCTCTGACACCAGTTGCCCGGGTGGCGGGATAGCTGCATGGCTGCATGGCTGGGTGCCTGGGATATGCATAGCCGTCTTATCATGAGTGCCTCGGCGACATTGCCAATGCATTTGCATGGCAATTTGACTTAACGAGGCGGCGGGTGGCGGGCGACGGCAACATTCGAGCATAATCAATGGCAAGCAAACCACTTCAACGCGAAGGTGGCTCCGCCTGTTTGGTCTACAAATATTTGCGTATGTGTGACAATAAATTGTTGCAACTGCCGCTGGCCTTTTGAACCAATTTGCAATAGAAAGATATCCATATGAGACCAAGATGGAATTGCGAATGTAGGTCAGAAACACTTTTCAATAAAATAGGGTGAATCAAATATAAAAAAAAAAAATAAATAAAATATTTTCTATACAGGTTACAGTTACATTTCTTTATTTATTTTGACCCTATAAATTAAAATGTATTTGAAAATAATGTTTGCCTTGAATATAGTATATTAAACAAATATTAATTTAGTTCTTGCATCAGAGCTTTAATAATATAATATAATNGCAACTTCGCTTATAAGCTCAAAGAGGTCATTTAAGTCGCTAACATTAAGTACTATTTGGGGTGGTTTCGACGGCTGAGCTTTAACTGGAGCCCCAGAGTTGCCAACTATGGCAGCAGTCCGATTCGACGCAGCAATAGCCGCTTGATTGCTGGTGCTGGGCTGTTCACACAAGTCTTCTACATCCATGTCAGCTGGAATTTGCGCAAGCAATCCGAATCTGTTAGAACTGCCAGTATAATGAGATTGTTGCGAGGTAGAGCGTTCGTTATTCTTTCCAAGGTTGAATTTCTTCTTAGCAAGATTAGGAGAAGTCGTAGTAATTATCTTGCGCTTAATTGTAGAATTTTTCCGCCAACTTTCCACATTTTGAAAACGCATTGCTCCATTTGCGCTTTGAGGATTGGTTTTGGGTACCTGTACTGCAGGCAGCACTGTAATCACCATTTCGTTGTTTGAAGGCTCGTTGACAGCTTTCAAGAGTGCATCACGAAGATTTTTGTTAAGCACCATTCTGGCAATGCTTTGTACATAGATGCTATTTTAAAAACAGCTGTTTTGCTTGCACACGCAAGCCGGGCAGCAAAGCCCCGGTTAGCAATTTTCAATAGTGAATATATCAATGCCCTTGAACTTATATCACAAGCAGTGCCCCAAGAAGCCACTATTATAAATGGGCCACAATTGTRGGCTTGTTTAAGAGAATTATTTTAGGAATTTAAAAATTTAAAAATTTAAAGTCTGACGTAAATCCCTCTAGTCAAGCCGAGTTCAGTTGGGAAATCATTTTGTCTACACTCATCTAATTTGCATCTTACAATTGCTAGCGCCATCTAACGTTCGTTTCTATTTGTTTTAATAGCACCCGCCTAAAAGCACGCAACAAAAATTGTACGCCATGTGCAATCAGAAACTGCTACTGCCACTCCTGTTGTTAACAGTTGCTGCAGTTGCAAGCGGCGCTGAGGCGGAGCCTGAGGATGCCGACGCTATGACCATTAGCCCTGCAACGCCTGGCGCACAGGAAGAGGCAAGAAACATGGTTAAGCGTACACCGACATCCAGCTTTATTGGTATGCGAGGCAAGAAGGAGCAAGACCCATCCGCAGATGCCAATTGGTTGGGCCCCGATCCTTTGGATTATGGCGAACAAGATGAGGAAAACTCGTACTATGAGAACGGAAGAAGGCTCAAGAAGGCTCCAATGGCCTTCGTTGGCATGCGCGGCAAGAAGTTTTCGCCGAATACCAATCGACTGCGCGATTTACTGCAGAACATGGAGGAGCAGCGTCTACGAGAGAGTTTCCTGCAAGAATTCATGAACAATTTGGCGACAGATGACGGCGACGTGGCCAAGCGAGCACCCACCGGATTTACTGGCATGCGTGGCAAGCGTCCGTCCTTATCCGAAAACGAGGATGATGAGGACGATGCACTGGAGCTGCTGGAAAAACGCGCCCCTGTCAACTCCTTCGTAGGCATGCGTGGTAAAAAGGATGTTTCCCATCAGCACTACAAGCGCGCGGCTCTTTCAGAGGTAAGCCCACTAAATACAGCTGCAGATGGGCGCGTGACAGACTTACATTGCGAGGAGAGTGTAAATAGTTGATTAGGAGACAAGCTAAATATAATGCGAAGTTATAGGCATATACATATATGGAATATCAGTGAGGAGACTCAAATGAAATAAAATATATACTATTATTTTATGTAGAATAAAGACTTACTTTACGACTCTATAGCGCATGTTGCTTTAAAGCATAACTAGTTAGGGCGTATGACCTAGTCTTTATATATACATATATTATATTATTTTATTCTTCTACTCTATTCTCATTCGGATTCCCATGTGGTGTCCACAAGGTCCATAAGGTGTATCCTTTTCTTAATTTGTGTGCAATTAATTGAGATACGAGTTGCTTTGCCTATGTTGGCTTTGATGTAATTCTTGCCGTTTAATTAGCTCAGTCACAATGGGAATCGCTAGATCCTTCTGTAGTACAGATTTACTCACAAAACAACCAGGATCCTGGCTATCTATCAAAACAGCGCAGCTTGGCAACATTTGTTCACCAATCTTTGCTAGAAATTTAGTTAGATATGTGAATAAATAAAAATCCTTATAGACATATTGACTGATATATTATTATCACATAAAAAATGCAAGTGCTGTGCATGTCGTATAATATTTTGAGAATTTACTTAATTGCATTAATAAAATATATGTAAAGTAGCCTAGAATTTTCCAAACTAATGAACGATTTAAGACTTGTGGCTGGATTAAGTGAAGAACATATTTGATACAAATAATTGTAATAGAGCTATGCCATATATCTATGTGTATATATATTTCAACGTTTATATAGATACATATATGAATATATAAAATACTTACAAATTCATAGAAAACAAAATTTAGATTTTTCACACAAATATTGAGTAAATTTTAATTTAATTCATTTAAATTAAAAAATGTATATATTTTAGTAGAACATAAAAAAAATCACAATCCTCTATTTTTCTATCCATAATTGTTTCAAAAGAGCATTTAATTCTTGGGCTTGGTATACTTTCTTATCCTTATTTCTGCTCGATAATTTATACCATATCTATCGACCCAACTATGCATGTATTTGTTTTGTCACGCCCCTATCTTCAAGCCACAAACTAATTGTAATTTATAACATTATTTGAACTAACCATGGCCAGTTGTGGCGCCAACTCTCCAAAAAGGCATACGATGTGCGCGGCAAGAAGCAGCGATATGCGGACTTTAACAGTAAATTTGTGGCTGTGCGTGGCAAGAAGAGTGCGCTGAGCGATGCCAATGGGGCAGCAGAGGAGAATTTGATTCAGCCCTGGGTCTATGTCATCGATGGCAAGCGGGCGCCCAGCGGTTTTCTTGGCATGCGAGGCAAGCGTCCTGGTAAGTGATTCAACTCTAACGTATGACCTTGACCAGGTGTGCATATACTCTGGATTGTTCCATTGCAGCCATGGTAGAGTAAGCGAACGGGATGGACAGAACGGAACTGGTGGCACAGATAGGCGAGCGCTTCCTCATTTACATTTGACGAATGACAGTCGGAAGTTCCTTTTAAACTAGGCAAATACAATGTTGTAAATAATCGCTGGGCTGGAGATTATTTAGAACGTGAGCACACACACACACGCACAACAGACACACACATTCACACCTCTATAGACAAGATTTCCTCTGCAACATAGGCTTAATCATTTTGATGTAAAGTTAGCAAAAAAAAACTAAAGCTAATTAAAATCACATTTGAGGCCGTTCTTCGCTTCGTGTGGTATATGAATTAAATTATTTGCATATATATTTGTGGACAAATTAATCAAAATTAAAACTTGGCTAAGTACTTCGTGGACATATCTAAAATCGAGTTTATAGACAGATACATACACATACACACAAAGACACCTACAAACACACACATTCAGAGCTGTTTTAGTGAAAGCGAAATTTTAATTTATTTGCAATTTATTTATGATAACGGTAATTGAAAGCAAAACTACATACACAAACGATAAAGAACAACTAACTTATATATATATCAAATATATATACATGCATAAATATATATAGCACAAATGTCTAATTGATTATTGTAAATATTGTATGGTCTACAAATAAAATGAAACTATTATTAACAATACAATGAATGCATTTACATTCATTTATTTCTCATCTGCTCTTCTCATCTCTGGCATATGTAAAATATTTAAGTACTTCTGGTGTAAGGCACAGCTGCTGTCAAGCCTCATCGACATCTTCAAATCTCCAATGTGAAACCTTATCAACAATGACTAACAAACAATACATAATATTTGAGCATGTCAAGTCTACTTAGCTAGAAACATATAAAAGTGCTCAGTTGTTTCACTAGGTGATAGCAACTATACCGATCTTACACTGTGAGTTGAGATTTGAATTCTAAACTTGATTGAGCAGCGAAATCATATAAGGAAGTCGAGTGTATACAAATAGGGCAAGTTGCTTAAGAGCTGAGATTCCATATTCAAAATAGTTCTTCTATTTTATACAATTAAAATATACACGTTCTCAGTTATTCCACTTATTTATTGCGACTACACAAATCTTATACCACAAGTGTGAAATTAGATTTCAAACCTGAATGTAAATAAAAAAAACTTAATTTAATAAAAGCAGCGACTGCAAACAGTCTAGTCTACTAAGCTGCTTAAGAGATAATATTCCATCAACAAAATAGTTCTTTTTTATTATAAAAATAAAAACTTTAAGCAATCTACTCATAATTCTAAGAAGAAGTAATCGAAAAACAATAACAGCTTACAGACTTATATATATGCATTCATATATGTATACAGGTACTTGTCAACTACCTAAATAAGTATCTACAAATTTTACACACAAACAAAACGCGATTTGTGCACAATACAACCGTTTTCAAATACTATATGGACAGACTTTTAATAAGGCAACTCCGAGTAACTGAGTTTGTGAAACAAACGATACACCACTGCGCATTTGAATGGGATAACAGCAGAGACGTTCAGGTAGTGCAAGCCGAAACATGTGTTTTGCTTACAAAGAACCATAACATTTGACCTCGCCCATTGTGATTGATGGCGAAACTCAAGAGAGCATGGCTAGAATTTTGTGCTGTGCAGTGTAAACACTTATCGGCGATCTGTCGGGCACTTTCACAATTATTACACGAATTTTGCATTTAATGGTGCCTGCGCAGCAAAAAGTTCTCTGGCATCGTAAAGAGAGCACAGCTTGAGAGAGCCGTAGACAGAGAGCGAGCGAGAGACAGTGTCAAAGCTCGTGCCGGCGGCTCATGGAGCGTCGCTCTCAGCGCTTGCGACGCAAGTGATCACAGCTTATAAATAGCAGAGCTGAGCGAGTTCTAAGCCAGTTACTTTTCAACAGCCGTTCAAACAACGTCAACTTCGTACGCAACGTCAAATTGTTAGTATTCGTGAGCGTCTCTTCTGTTAGTGTGTGTATGTTTGTGTGAGTGTGTATGAAGAGGACTCAAAGAAAATGTTCATGGAGCGAGCACGCATACAATGCGACTTGCTTGGCTGATAATTGTTATGTGTGTCAATTTGGCAAGACAATAAGATTTAAAATAGTTGAAGAGTAATTAATCCAGCTATTGACGTTGTAATTAGCGTCTGCAGACGGTGGAAAATTTCCTCCTCTTGTTGTATTGCCAAACAACTAAACTAACTGTCCACATTCACATTCACCTACATTTTCCACAATCCATGCGACGGCGGGTGCAGTTTGGCATGGAAAAACCAGTATTTTCGATTTGGATTTCGTCGCTCATCTCGAAATTCAGCTTAGACAGCTGTTCAGCTGTTCGGCTCGAATCAGTGAAATTTCTGTGCATCTTTTTTCTTCTTTATATCAAAAACTTTCTGTTTGTTTTTTGGTTTGTTTTTAGCTTCAAATACTGTGATTATTGACAACATTCAAGATGTTGAGACTCTGGGCAAGCCTGCTCTTGGTCTGCGCCGCACAGGCGTCACCATTTTACAGCGAGTAAGTAAAAAATACAACAAAATTTGAAATTAAAAAGCAAAAATATTTAATTTATGCTTGTGTGGTTTTTGTGTAATTGGCAATTTGCATTCCGTAGTTCATGCATATCTCATGTAGTTTTTTTGTTCGAATACTGTCAATTTCATATGGTAACAATGGGTGGTTCGACAACATCATAATTTACTAGCTACGTTAAAAACTGTTACAGAATATATATATAAAAAAAAAAAAAAAAAAAAAAAACCTGGCTCACATTATTATTAGATTTCGTTAAATTAATTTTTTTCATACTTCCATTTCGGTTCATTTATTTTTATTATCCCATTAAATGTAATATAACAAGCTTCAAAAAATTGTAGTGTCTAACGTGTTTTGGAATTTTCTCGAACAATTATAATGCATGCCTTCTTTACAGTGATCGTTCGAATTCAATTTCCAGTGCTGATAATGAAATCAGTTCATCAGAGTCTTACAGGTGAACTACTCATATGCCCACTGTGCACACTCCCAGCATTTAGCAAGCTTGTCCCAAAACAAATACGGAACCACCGTTCCACTCATAATCCCAGCCATACTCTGTTCTCTTCCAATATTGATCTGTCAATCCGAACTTTTGTTTTATGTTTTTGTGACCGTGGACAAGCCGTAATAGCCCCTCTAATTGAGAGTTTAGATATTTATAGTGTTTGTTCTAGCACTTTACTGGTTTGGCTTGGTGAAATTTCACCATTTACTACGTTGACTTGGCAAATACGAAACGTGTTAACATTATAGCAAATAAAGTGAACCAAACAAAAATGGCTCAACCGCAAACGAATACAAAGCAAAACAGAAAATTAAAATAAAACAATTATTTGTTTTTTTGGTACTAAATCAAGAAACGTAAAGAAAGTCAAATTGTGACCTAAATTTATAGCTTAAATCTGAGAGCAGGCCGGCAAAAATGACAAAATCACCTAAGTAAAAAGATGTTGAAAGATGATTTTGAATTCAGCCTAAATATACAAGAATTACCTTTGTGTTCGTGAAAATATTAGTTCAGTACCACACAAAAGATAAACATACTTATATGTATGTATGTACGTATACTTTCTGGTCTGTTAAGAACTTCTTCGCGCTGCTTTCCCAACCCAAAATGTGAATGTCCAGTTACTGACTACCAAAGAGATTGTTCAGTTAAGGCGATAAGCGCAGAGAATTGCAGAGAATCGCGATCGAAAATTGGCACACAAAATCGCCTCAAAGATCATTTAACCCTGCAGTTCAAGTTTTTTTGCGAAAGGCATTGTGCAACAGCAAGCATTGAGAAAATGAAGAAGAAGCAGCAGAAGTGGAAGAAGAAGAAGAACAACTGCAGCCGCTCAGTTGAGAACAATGTTCAAGCAAAGTGGGTCAGCGGCTTTAGGGCATCCGTGAAAGATGCAATTGCAGATGGAGATGCAAATGCAAATGCAGTGGCGGGATTTGACAGATGATCGTCGTTAGCGAGTCGAGGGGCTCGTTTACACATGGCTGATTGCAGCGAGAAACCTTAAACACCAGCTGTAGGCTATAGTTGGATAACTAATTCAAATAGCTGTCATTAATTTGACACGATTTGCGTTGCGTGGGGAGAGGCAGGCAAATTTGGCTTGACATGGAGCGAATTAGCTGTTGACACCTCATTAGATGCAATTTTTGGGAGCAGCTAACGCCCCAAATTTAATGCTCTGCCGACAAATTTAAAAGCCCCCAAAACTGGGTCAACCAGAAACCTGTCCCGTCTGCTCCTCTCTGGCGTGCTTAACTCGTTTGGTTCTCCTCCATGGCAGAACCTTAATCGAATCACAGTGCCACTGCCTCCACTCGCCCACTGCCCATCGACTGTGGCCAACGACTTTCGCTTTGGTAGTCGAGACGGCGTTTTATTTAATTTACCAGTGCCTGCCTTTATTTACTGCTCACAGTTTTTTTTATTGTGATGTTATGCATTCGCTATACATTGGAAATTTCCAGAACTTTCTTGCCTTAATTATGACCTCGCAAACTTTCCCAAATGTGTTGAGATTAGAGCTCATCAATCGAGGCATCAATTCTATTAGTCTCATAATTCTTAGGAAAAACAATAATTATAATTTACAGTCCATATATAATTAAACATTATTTACAAACAAATTATCAAAGTTTCTTTTAATTTAAATGCAAAACAGCAATTATCAAAATTTATTTTTATATGTATTTGTATTTATATTTTATGCATATATACAAATCATTGAAGCTCAATATCATATAATATATGTTTTAAATATGTATTTCTAAATTTAGAACTTTTTCTTCAAAAGTGTTTTTATATATTATTCATACACAAATCTTTGAAGTTCAATATTATTGTAAATTATATGAAAATATTAAAGATTCTACAATTCAAAAATCCAATTTTTCCATTTATAATATTTAGACCAGATCATTTTTAAATTTTCAAATTTATTATTTACAACATTCTTTAAAAGTCAATATTTAATGAATTAAAAAGCAAGCCAATGCTCTATAATTAGATTCGTAGATAGTAATTTCCCCATAATTCAACTAGGTTCAACGCAAGTCAAATTTTAAAAATTTCTCTTTTCTTTAACAATTGGCAAAAACAAACTTCAAAAAACAATTGTCAGCCACTATGCCTAGGAGTTTCTCCCAAAGCTATATATGAATCTCTCTATATGAGCAGTTCAAAAAT